TCCTTTTTTTTTTTTTTTTTTTTTTTTTAAGTTATGAGTGTACCAAGATGATAATTACCATGTTTCACACATTATTAACCAGTCACGGCTGCATTTGAATGTTATAATATCGTAGTATTTCTGTATGTTTGCAATCAGAAATAAAATTAATATAAAAACTATTAAAATGTATTTAAGACGTGCAATAATAATAATAATAATAATAATAATTATTATTATTATTATTATTATTATTGTTATAAGATCCACCGTATGTCTATTTGAATTTTATTTTATCGTCATTATCATTGAACAGAGTTAACGTATATTATTTGCATATTGCATTAGTGATGGATTTTGAAAGTTTTTGCCAATTTGATAATAATCACAATAAAGGAAGTTATCTAAATAAAATTGTAGTTAATACCATAATTTAAATATTATTAAATCTACTATTTTAGTTAAATATCAGGCGATTACATCATATTTTACGAAAAGACAATTTATGATAATAATTTATACATATGATATTTAGTATATTTCAATAGAAACTTATATAATTTTAAACTAAGACATCCTTAACAATATATTCATTGTATAAAATATCTTCATTTTGTAGTAAACACATAAAAACATTCTTTTTTTTATAGAATATTTAGAAGTACTCTTGTATTAAAATAAATTTACATAATCATTAGCCATTTAGCATTGTGATTTTCCTTGAAATTTTAAAACACTGTATAAAAAGTTTAGTCTTTTTATATTTTTTTGAAATATTAACAACGTCATTGGTAATCAGAATATTAATTGCATATATAGTTTATCTGTTACTTATATATATATATATATATTATTTATATAATATGTCACTTATGATATAAGTAATTTGTGTTTTTTTTCTGCTTTATTTATAATATTAAGAAATGTAAAAACTAAATACATCATTAATATTTTATTAATCTTATGATGCCATTAATGTTACTTTTCTTTAACTACAAATACCTATTTTGTAGAATTAAAACTATAATAATATAATTAAGATTTTTTAAAACATTTATCAACATAATTGGAACATCGTTTAACATGTAGTTAAAAACATTGACAATAGTAAGATTTATATATTTATTATTATAATTATTAAATTATATTCGATTGAATTGGATTTTCATTGATGTTTTAATTAGTCTTACTAATTCATGCCATATTACACACTAATTCGCTTTCTATAATCTTAATAATAAAAATACTCTAATAAATAGTAGTTTAAAAATTGATAGGAGACACGAATTGTGAAATATAACCAAAAAAAAAAAAAAAAAAAAAAAAAAAAAAAAAAAAACATTGCTTTACTAAAAGTATAAAAGATTGTAAAATAATAATACGTATCGCTCTATACGTGGTTACAAATATTTATTTGTAGTTAGGTGGTATGATTGTATTTTTGATAAATCGATTAATATTAGATAAATTATTTTTCATTAGAATTATCATGTTATAAAGCCTTTTCGTTAGAAATTAGAACTTAATGTACCCGTTAGAAATTATAATTAATTAAAAATGAATAAAAACTTAAATATTATTCCTTTTTCTTTTTCTTTTCTTTTTTGTCCATTTACAAGATCGTGTATATATATATATATATATATATATTAAAGCTGGTAGGAGAAAAATAGAAAAGTACGTAGTAAATTAAACGACTGTGAAGATAAGAAGAAACATGGACGTAATAATATTAAGCTTTACTAAGATCGCCTACCTTAGATACTTCAGGAAATAGTTGTCGAAGTAGTCCGATTGTCCTTTTGCTTCTCAGTGCAGATTCATTGTCAGCTTCGACTACCATTAGTCGATCAAGAGCCTGGAATAATATTTACCTAATTATTCTTAAAATTGTTAAAAATTGCTTAAATATATCTTGGTACATAGATAAATTTTGAAATTGAAAAATGCCAAAAAAAGTTTTGCCGACAACGGGCACATAATGTGTTTCTCGTGTGCATTCTTCTTTAGCTAAAGTAATAAAACTTATTTGCATTGAATTTTTCGTTGACTTTGAATTTCAATGCAGGAAAAAAAACGATTGTATGACCGCTCGCGATATTAAATAAGCTCTAAAGTTTTGTAGTAATTACAAGATTTAGTAGTAAATAAATAGAAATTATTTTTTAACTTTGTTTTTACTCAATCATTAGACTCAATTTGAATACTTAATTTTGACGATTTACATTAAAAACTAAGATTAAAATGAAATTACGAGCACGTGTTTAATAATAATCGAGCCTTATGAATACATAGAACATCATTTGGTTTTATACGTGAAAGTTTTTAATATATATCATATCAAATATTACGTCATGAATATACTATGTAGGACACATTTATAATCATCTGGAGTAATGCATGCTTTATCATTATTAAATAACAATTATAGTAAGCTTATGCATATACGTATGTCTGAATAATGGAATTTATTTGCTAATTAAATGATTGTATTAAAATGTTTTTAATGTGATGAAGACCTTTTTGTATGTCGTAATTTTTATAATTAGAATTTGATAAATTTGTAATTTATAATTTAACATATTTTATCCACAGAAGCTAATAATACTGCTTTCATTTCAATTAAATATTAATTTTGTAAATAAATCCACAATGTTGTTTGCATTATCATACAATTAGGCTTATCAAGTAGGACTCAGTATCGTATTTACAATTTAAGTATTTTTAGATGTTTAAAGACAACAAATAGTTTTAAGATTTTGCAATGATTTTTTCGAAAAACCACAATTTTCGAACATTACTATTTTTTGATTGATATAAATACTTGAATATCTTTATTGTCTTTATTATTAAGTTTAGACAAGTACATTATTAAATGTATTGCTGCAATCTTATTTATTATAATATTTTCAATCATATAATAATTATTTTGCTACCGACAGATTCGATTTACTTGGCTGGCTATTCGCCTTATACAGGTCAATCGAGTACGATCAATTGTTAGTTCAATAAAAAATTTAGTTTGCAATCATACCTTTCACTTATAAGTAGCTGTGTCTACTAATATCTTACGATATTAAGATTAATCGCCAAGTTTACTGATTACAAAGTAATTTTTAACCTCAAAATAATATCTTATATTAGTTTATAGATAATTAAGATTTATAAATATATCAAGGATATGGTTTGGCTAAAGCAATGAAAATCTTAGTTAAACACTTAATAATTATAGTAAATAAAGAGACGAAATATTCAGTTATTATCATAGAATAGAAAATAAAAGAATATACATTATTTTATTAAAATGATTTTTACACTCTTTAATATTACTTTAATACTATTTTCTATTTATACTAATTATACGGATTTATGTAAGTTATGAACAGCATTTTACAACTTATCAGAATATAATTGAGAGCTACGTTAAAGTATTAAAAAATGTTTATAAATTATAGCACAACTTTTGTAATGCTATAAAAATTATTTTTGTAATACTAATGCTTTTAGAGTGTTTTAATTAGATCAATAATGAAATTTTCTTTAATATTTCAATACAATGAAGGAAATATATGATTGACACGCTAATGAGAATGTTAAGGAAAAGGAAGTATCAAGAATTATTTTAATATTTGATTAAAAACGTGAATTTTTAAAAAACAAGTTTTCTTATGAAAAAGCGATAAATTATATTAATTACCACATTTTATACAATTCAGAATTTTTTTATTTTAATAAAATAAATAACAAATTTCAATTATTATTGAAATTAATGTATTTTATTCATTTTTTTTTTTTTTTTTTTTTTTTTTTTTTTTTTTTTTTTTATTAAATATCGTCATAATTAAATGTTATAAAGTTATAAATTGATATTAAGAGTATTTGGCATGAGATATTAATTAATCAAAGAAAATAAAAGAACGTTATATAATTCATGCACTTTTGGATAAAAATGCGTTCGTTAGACTTTTAGTTGCCGATGAAAAAATCCCTGATTGAAAAGCAAATTTATATATTGCATTTATCAAATAATATAAAAATTTATCCATTTATCGATTTATCGTTACGTCACAGTGCTAATACGCGCATCATCGATATCTTACGAAAATATGTCATACGAACGAAATTACTCGGGCTTGAGGAGTGAAGGCTGTTAAAAACAGAGGTTAGCCTGTGTTTGTAAAACATCGAAAGAAAAATCGTAAGGCGTGGCAGTTATAGCGTCGCGCAAAATCACCAATAAGTATGAGACAATCGAAACCAAGTGGGTTGCCTAACATCCCACTGCGATACACTTTACTTTCTCTATACTGAGCTACGGCTCTTCGATAGCCATTCTGCCGCCATTTCCCCGAGGGTCAAGCTACGTCAATTTACCGGCTGCTACGCACGATGCTCATCGAAGGATTATCTACTTCACTGGCTTTATCCGTAAGAGGAGTGGGATTGAAGATTCGCGGAAAGTGAGCTGTACCTTACGGTTCGCTGAAGAAATGCCAATTTCTTTTAATACATAGGCTTTTGTGCTTGGTGTGGCTAGAAATTAGTTCTTTGAAATGTCCTGATCTTGTGATTTATTCTGTCGTGCGTGAACGTTCGCGTTTAAATAAATTATGAATCACTCTTTAGAGATCTGAAGAAACATAAATTAACAAAATTTTATCAAGATCAATATTTATAAACAGTCAAAATATTAAATTATATATATTTTTAATTATTTCTCATTTAATATCGCTTCTATACTCGTGTTATATTAATATTTATGTTAATAAACAACCGTGTCAGTTAAGTTTTTTTTAAATATATGTTTTTTATATTTGCATAAATCAAGGTTTTTTACACCGTCGTGTTTCTACTTAAGTTTAATTGCTAAATCGATCAATGCAAAAACGAAATTTGTTGAAATACATTTACGTAAATGATCTTATTTGCAAAATCTGTTATTATCTATAATCAACAAGTTAATAATGCACGAGAATAAATTGTATTATAAAACATTTTTTATTTTAACTAAATATTTATTATAATATTATAAATATCTTATATATTTCATTTTTACATCTGTTTTAGTAAATCTAAGATTTTGAAATGATCTTTGAGAATTTGAGGAAAGAATTTTTAATTTATAGAATTCAATTCTTCATCATATTCTCGCAATATACGTAATAACATGTTATATAATTGTTGAAAAATACATTAAATATTATTTTTTTTATTTGAATATGAGTCAATTTTAGTTGAGTTATAGCGTAACTCAATTCACAAACAGCACGCCTAAATATTAAATAAATACTTGACTATAATCAATATAGTATAATTTAAATTGAATAATATTATCTAGTTTACTTCAATTATTCAGTTCAATAAGAATATTATTCATAAATAATCTCAATATTTTATTAAATCTAGAATTTAATCGTCTGATATACAACGCAAATAATAGAAGTTTCATCTCATAATATAATATTATCCTCTATATTATCACGTTATAAGTATATTTTATATAATAAATTTTATTTTATATAATAAGTATTATAATATGTATAAGATTGTATTATTAATGATATGAATATATATATATATATATATATATATATATATTTAATTAATTAAAAATAGATTAATATTTAGTAAATACGTTACATAAATAATGAGTTTGTAGATGAAAATATTCTGCTTTTTTATTATGGCAAATAAAAGAAAAATATTGATGCAAAAATATTGAAGAAGTTGAGCCGAATAATAAAAGCATTAAAATATTATAATTACAAATACATGTAAACCTATTTATGTGCGTATTAATATGTTGGCATATGTATATCTATATATGTATAGCTTCCTATGTCATATTATTCTTTTCTCAGGTATTAAACTTATTATTAATTAACAGGTAAGTAAGGTTATTAGTGCATATTAATAAACAGCATTGTTAATTATTTCTCTAGAAAAAAAACTACATTAAATTTAATTTCAATATAGTTATGTAAAATTCTGACGATATATCTAATCTATTGGCGATATACCATTAACTATAATTAATCAATATTTTTAAAATTTTGCTGTTTTTTCAAAAAAAAAAAAAAAAAAAAAAAAAAAAAAAAACAACAACCAATAAATATTAAAAAAATTTCGTGAATACTTATATTTATTTTAAACGACTATTTTTCAAAATTTTATAAGAACTTATGAATTTTGTTATGAACCATTCATATGTAATTGTCATAATTAAAAACAACTATCGTGTTTAAAAATAATTTAAAAACTTTTTATTCTTCTGCCTTCAGAATATTGACATTATGGTCTAATATTTTATATTACAGACATATGCATAATTATGATATAAGTAATATAATATAAGTAATAATTATTAATTTAATACAACATTTTAAAAATAATACATATTATGAAATACTATATTGTTAAATAAAATTATAAAACTATTGTTATGTTAATTTTATTAATAATAAATTATATTAATAAACTAGAATTGTACTTTTAACGGTGTAATGTATACGTGATTTTAGAAAGTTTATGAAATTATATGTATATTCAATATGATGTTTGTGGTTGGTAATGATAAATATAAATATTTGTATTTTTGCTTATTCATATTCTCCGGTTGATTTTTCTCAATTATAATATAAATTAAATATAATTGCCAACACATGCTGAATTTTATTATTACCATTTAACTTTGCTTGCTTATTGTACTAAAGTAATTTACCTCTATAATCTATCAATGACAAAAGAAAATAGCGTGATTGAAAATATAAGGAAAAATTTAGTTTGTATAAAGTTTATAATAATGAAAAACTCTTTTGCAAAATATTTCCGACATATTTACATAAATGTCTTATAACG